CGAACTATAAAACAGATAACAATCAGAAATCTTCTTCCTTTTCTACATTACAAATACAATCCGGTCAAGGGTGATTTCGAGCTGAGGAACTTGAATTGCCAATACTTTTCTCTCAAGGGGACGCTGGCTGGTTAAAATTGAAATTGCCCAATGAACAGGTAGGGCTCAATCCCTTTTGATTGATGCCCAACTTTGATAAAAGATTACTCGTTTCTAAGACAAAACTTAACGATTTAAATGAACTCGGTTTATCTCTGAGAGCGATAGGGCTGTATGAAAAAGTAAAATTTATTTAAGGAGAACCCAGAATGAATAATGCGATAAGACGGTTTCTTGCCAAAAGGTTTGATAACTGTAATAAAAAAAGTCGCCATTTAAACCTATATTTACGGGCTTTATTACCTGTTCTAAAGTTATAAGAACTGTCACTAAAAACGCCCTTACCAAAGATTAATTGGCCTAGCAACAAACTGGAACGATCGGCTGCCTAGGAACTAGAGGAAACTCTACGCGACCTCTTTATTCAAACGGCAGGTCATATTTATAGCTCACTGGACACAGTAACAAATACAAGGCTCAAATACAACATCATGAACTTTGATGCAGGACCACCAACTGCAAAGGCATCATCAGACGAAACAGTAAACATACTTCTTACTTCCGCACCTGACGGCTATAAAACACATCGAATGTTTGACAAGTTAGCCGATGTACACAATCAAAATACCTATTTCAATTTTTCTGAAAGATTTCAAAAATAATCTACTGCAATGGGAATTAAACATTTCTAAACATAATTGTAAAAGAAGGCGCTAACAAAGGGTGACCCAGATAAAAACAAGTGGCCCGCAAAACAGTATGATACACAAAGTAGGAGAGGAGGAGCACAATAAATAAGAATTACTGATTTTTTAAACAAAAAGTGGATTGGATGAACCATTAGTCTTCCAAAACACATGGAATGGATTGTGCTTTGATTTACTCGGTTGAGTACCAATAGCCCGAAATTGAATGTCATCTGTAGTTTTCGAAAGCATTAATTTAATGGTCCAAGATCCAGGTTTACTCAAATCGATTTACCTGAGAAATACTTATGCAATAAGGCTGATTTGGAAATCAAGTTCCTTTTAAGACAACAATGCGAAAAATGTCTGCCAAAAAACCTTTGCATGATACAAGCGACATTTAAGAATACGTAATTTGCATCAAGTCAAAGACAGCTAGACCGAAAAACTCAGGAATCTTACTATACAGTTGGCTTACTATTTTTCGATCAAATAAAGGTAGTTTGGATAGAATGACCAAAGCTCTCATTCATGCTCAGGTCACCCAAAATTAAGTTGTCTATTTCGCTTACATTTCCTGATCAAGGATGAATGGACAAACAGACAATTAATTAAAATGTGTAGATTCTGATAAAGACGTCGCCCATAACTTTCGCCTTCGATAACATCAATGTCTTAATTTAGCTAACCAATCCGGTGCTTCTGCGAGGACAGCTGGCTGCCATCCCGGTTAAGTTCTCTAGCGGATAATAGTCCTCCGTACCACAGGTTGGGAAGTATTTGCATAAGATACTAGGATGTAAGCCAGGCTAAGATGGCTTCTGTTTAATGGTCTTTATGAAATCTTATCCTTGCGCCGCACGGCACAAGTTAAACGGAAACCTGACGTAAATTTAGACACAGCTTCCTGATTGCGGCAACTTAATCCTGCGGAGAAGGTAATTAAGATCTCATGGGCGATTGGGACTAGTTCGGATCGCATTTTAACTAAACTAATCGTGGAGCATAATGCGTGCGTCAGTACGCTGGGCTGCATAGGCAAACTATTTCACGTGGTATTGATTACGCTCACACAGAGAAAGGAACAAGGTGATATAACTAAACTGAATTTCTAACCACCGCCGATAAAAATTGCCCGAAAACGAAAAAGTATGGAGGCAGGCGAAAGAACAGCAAAAGCAATGTGTGTTAGTGTAAAAAACATACATAAATTGGGAATGGCCTTCATAGCGAAAAGTTAAAATAATAAAAAGGCGTTGCAAAAATAGAGTACGATGCAAAACGGTCAGTATGAATTCGTTTCAGTGGTGGGTGTTAATAGCCTGCTGATCAGGCAGATGCCGGTTTTTGCGGCCGAGCCTTTCAGCGTTTGCTCTTTCTCCATGTGATACTCGTCTCATCCACCTCGACTGGAACTCCCAATGGTGGCTTTATTTTAAGTAATATTCTTCTGTATGCGTGCCTTTATTTTTTATTGCGTTCAAGGGCCAGTAGAAAACTTATGGACGTTACATTCAAAGTGATCTTCACGAGGACATTCAGGACAAAAAAGGCAATGACACGGAAGACTGTGCTGATTTGCAGTCATACTGCACATATTCTCCATCTTTTGGCATTGCGGACTTTTTAATACCACACCTTCAGCACTTTTGAGTGCTTCTTCAACAGCATTATTCTACCTCAACCACATAGCCCACCAGCTCCCACTAAAACATACTTCCCTGCAAATCTTCATGCACTATGCCCACACAATTTCATAACCAGGTCGGGAGAGGTGAGTCGCGGTTCGCTTATCGTTCTGCACTGACGAAACAGCCAACATGCATAGCTGTATTTAAAAGTTCTCATTCTTTAGGTCATTATTCCAACTTTTTACCGGTTAAGTTAATCTGACGCATGAATCCGATATTTTAGCATGCCTTCAAGATAGTTTAGGAACATACCAGTGTAAGCCGGATTCTTTTGACGGATCCTACATAACGAATCTTATTTACGAAGCTACTCACACACGATAGGAAGGCAAATACTGAAGTATGACCCATCTCCAATCCCTCCCGTTAGAGTGGTACTGCTCCGTCTGATAACCTTTAACGTTCGTACCATTTTAGCTAACCAAATACTTAATCAACCAGAGAGGATGGGAGCTCTGTTTGCTCTCAAAGTGTCTCGACACAAGATGGCATTTCTGCTCTATGCGAGAACCAGTTCTCCGAGGAAACGTAGTTAACTAAGTTACGTGTAGAAGATACTTCCTATAATATTGACCACCAAAAATGAAGGAAGGCAGGATGCTACAACCTTCCTTGCTAGCAAAACGGGGGTTGTCGAGAAACTGCCTTCCCCTCTATATGGAATACAAAATCGTCTCATGACAGCAAGCCCCCCACTATGCGGGAGATATTTGTCACAATAATGAGTACCTATTTATCATGAAAACGTAAATTAAAATTTTGCGGGAATGACCAGGCATTCCTGCTGTTAGAAAAATGGATTATCCTCCAGGGCCTTGATGCCTGAAGGTCCACAGAATGTTAAGCAGTACTTGGTCGTTTCTGATGAGATGCCTGCAATATCAAAAACATTCGGCCGAAAGGACGATTAAAATATAGTTACTCTCTCACCAACACCTTCCGTCTTCCAAAATGGGATGAGATTGCGTCGACGTAACATAGATCAGAGCATTAGCAGATGATAGATTATCTCCCCGTGCAGAGGCTTGGCCAGTGAAATGCGCTGGTAATAAATGCATTGTCCGATAACAACTGTTGGACAGACTAGCACCTGGTTATTTCTCAGATACGGCCGCCTATTCACTCGCAGAAATAGCCTTAAGCAAATAGAGTAGTAACTAAAGTTAATGCTAGAAATGCTGGACACGAATGCATGCGAACTGGATCGAATTAATGGATGCACTAAATCAGAGCAAATTCCAGTCCTAAAAGCTGAAGCTGCGGAGGACAAATTGGACAGACTGTGGGATGTCCGTCTCACCACTGCCATGCAAACCTTTAAACTGCACTTCTAAAACCAAAGACTCGCTTAATGACGGTGAGGAAGAACGCCAAAGTCTCCTATCGAGGAAAAACGACCTTTGCATAACCAGTGCGACCAATATGACAGACGAAGGAAGAATCTACATCTTCCCAATGATGAAAACAAGTTAATCAGAGGTCGTGAAAACTTTAAACCCACTAGTTAGCAGGCAAGGCAGCAGACATCTAGGGACAAGCCTGTTGAGACGAGGTAGAGGACTTCTTTATGTCCAGGAAATCAAGACATGGGTCAAGACCCACCAAAAATGCGCCTTTGGTCAGCTCAGACGGAATAGCGCTGCCCTTGGGAAAATCGCGAAACCTGGATTCCTAGCACTTAACTTGCGAACGCAATTTAGATCAAACTCTTGAGATTACAAAATGGAACTGTATTTGCCCCCAAAGAGGCAAGCGAGCGTCTCAAAGAAGCCGTTTGGAAACCTGTGAATTCCCCAGGCTGCATGCTGACACATCTTATGCAGAATGAGAAAGCGTATAATAACGAGCGAATTCTGCCACCTCCATCATAACCGCAAGTCGATTAACAGCTTTTACGGGAATGAACAAATGAGAAATGGCCTTCAAACGCAGCGTCCACACTTTTTGGGGTAAGGCAGGTGTGCTACGAGGGCTATTTCAGCATGAATTGTTTTTATGATCAGAAACCGAAGAAAATTAAATGGTCTACCAGAGATTGATTCCAATGTCTCCTTTTCTTTTGTCAAATACATTGAGATTTTGGGACAAGGGAACACAGCACCCAGCAACTTTCCTGGAGTTTTAGATATGATTAGGCAGGAAATACCTCGAATCCCTCCTTTCACCTCAAACAACCAATACCTCAACTAGGAGTTAAACTTCATACTGATGCTGAATACATCGTCATGGAAATCACCTTCGGTAGGCATTACGTATCACCATCCGCATGCTAAGAAATACTTCCTCATGTTTGCTTCCATATATGAAGACTTTTACAAAACCCGAATAGACAGAAATTCAGAGTCCTTTACATAACATACACTTGGTCCCAGTTGAACGAATGCCCGCTCGTCTTTTAAAAGCAGACATTTTGTCTTTAGAATTTATGCCAGATACTGCTGGTTGTATAACCCATGAAGGCCTAAAAACCATGTTCTGCAGTAGAGAGAAAGAGAGCTTCATGTCGGTAATTGTAATTAACTGAATGATCAGTAGGACTACTGATGCTGATGCATCTGCATCTTCATCTGATACTGATGCGTCTGCAAACCAATTCCTCGAGCGCGTAAAGCATCTTAAGTTAGAGCCAGACGAATCCATGGTATCCTTTGATGTCGTTTCGCTCTTCACCTCCATTCCACAGCAACTAGCGATAGACGTTGTGGACCAACTACTGGCAGAGCGCTATGAGGAGAGGGACAAGCACCTGAAGTCTGAACATCTGCTCGAGCTTCTGCGATACTGCCTCAAGACCTATTTCACCTTTGGTGGACAAATGTACGAACAAATAAAAGGCACTCCTATGGGTTCCCCTCTATCAGGCCTAATCGCTGAAGTAGTTCTCCAACGGATAGAACACTTGGTGTTCGCTAAGTATCAACCAAAGTTCTGGGCTCGCTATGTCGATGACACCTTCGTCGTTGTCAAAACAACTGACATTGAGCACCTAAAGGAACAACTGAACACGGTCGATCCGGATATCCTATTTACGATGGAAGCAGAAACGAACAACCAACTGCCATTCCCCGACGTGCTTGTGCGCCGGAGTACAACTGGACAACTGAAAACCGCAGTATTCCGGAAATCCACCGACACGAGACAAATCCTACACTTCAACAGCAACCATCCTCTGTCTCACAAACGTAGCTGTGTCCGCACTCTATTCCAAAGAGTCGAAACATATTGCAGCACGCCAGAAGATAAAAGAGCCGAACGAATGTATCTTCAAAACCTATTTGCAGCCAATGGATACCCCAGACATTTTATCGAGAGAAGCAGACGTCGGGTGCACAGACGACGGCCAAATGAGCAGCAACCTGAAGTATGGGGGGCCATTCCCTACGTTAAAGGGGTCTCTGAGGCGGTCTCTCAATTGTTACAACCGGCCAGAGTAGGCATAGCCCACCGACCACAGGCAACGATTCGACGCCGTCTGATGTAACCTAAGGACCCCTTGTCACCCGCCGAAACCTCTGCAGTTATCTACAAAATAAATTGCAAAGAGGGCGACTGCAACTATGTGGGAGAAACCGGGCAGAAATTGCAGACTCGCCTACAAGAGCACAAATCAGCTACTCAGAGGTTAGACTCAAATTCTCAATTAGCAACACACGTTGGAGAAATTAGGCATACTTTCGATCTCCAGCGAGCTACCATTTTAGGCCGGAACAACAGAAAAGCAGAACGGCTAACTCTTGAGGCGTGGTTCTCCGATGCCCACTCCATAAACAGGCATCTGGACCTTCCTGCAGCCTACAAAGTCCTACGTCATCACAATCGTAGAGCTCAGGACCAAACAACCACACCGGGCTTAAGGAGGCCATACGGAGACAGCCCGACGGCGAGTTTACTTGGTGAAGAAGAAGAAGAAGAAGAAGAAGAAGAACCGCCAGACCGCCCACCCGACACTGGTTCAGTCACCTCCCCCCGGCGGAATGGTGACTCACAATGCACGCAGACAAAACACCAGTCAACCATCCCCTGAAAGGCCGCGGCAGCGAGAGGAGAGAGAGAGAAAAAAATCGACCAGCAGGAGGCCGTCCAACGTGACACGCCACTTGGGATCTCTGGTGGATTGAGTGCATTTTACGCTTTGACAATGGAGAGCCGACCAAGCTCTTCGAAACGTCAGCATCCTAATAAACCTGTTCCGGTGAGCCCACCTTCTTCTTCTTCTTCTTCTTCTTCAAATAATCAACCCGGATCTCTCAACTTTGTCAATCTGAATAAAATTGTTCCGTCCAGCGCATTCCCAGGTTCTCCGTCAGGATCGAAACATGCGATGAAATTGTTGTATGTACACATATAAACAGGCAAATATTATTCGACAGTTTGGTCGTCGTTTGAAACAGATATCTGGAAAGCAGGTCACAGTCATGACTTACATAACCATCAGTTTATCGCACAGAGCGTCTGACGCAGATTATCTTTCACTCCCATCAATTAGAAGCGGTTTTAAATTTCGACATTGATTCATATCTTTCAGTAGGGATTATTCATATATTTCTTATTAAGTATTGTCTTTGTAATAGAACACAAATGCACAGTCACCTTTTTCCGCAGACTTAATCCTCGCTATAGGAAATAGACAGTGGTTAACGGTTCTCCTTGTGTCCCTATGCGTCTCACGTGCTTTCAGATTTAGTGCATGTCACACGATGTCTTGTTTGGTTTGGCTTGCCTCCACCGTTTAATCTTAAATTCCTGATTTCATTTTCAAGCATTCTGGCAATTGTAGATTTGATAACCCGAAACTTTCGTTCCTTTTTCGTAGACTCCAGTTCGGCATGCTGAGCTAATATCAAAACGAACTAAAAAGCACTGATGATCTGACATAAGTGCAACAGTTCTTACACTGTGACTGCATGAGTATGGAGACATCAAGAAACATGACCCTGGTATTCGTGAGAAAGAAAAAATAGGGACTATATCGAATTTAGTGGCGCTAGTTGGCAAGTTGCTGCCACCGCTCTCGAAGAAAGCCAGGCTTATATGGACTCAGAGGTATTGATCAACACCTAGAACTTCTCGGCTGCCAGTGCTGAGCACGCACTTTTAATTTAGGCGTTAGCTGCGAGCGTTCGAAGTCAGCCATAAAACGCACCCACAGAACAGATGAAAAATGTATCACGGAAGATGTGAGAACTCGCATAAAGACGCGGGTAGTCCTTAGACAGAAAAATAATCTATCACAAATTGCGAGCCGGCCTGTACTGACCCTGTTCATGGAGGTGCGAGATACAAATAGTTAGTGCCGAGATTTGCGTTCGAAAATCTGGCTTTTCGTATACAAAAGGCGCTTTGCCTGGAGCTTAGCCATTTGAAATTCAAAAAGTTAGTAACTGTAGGGGGCTAACGTTAGGCTTCCGATAGTCAAAGAGCGACTGCCGCAGACATCCAGCCAGATGGTGTGATGACAAGAACTATGTAACCGAAAAATCCAGGGAATAAAACATCATTATTATTTTTGCCGTCATAAGGTGACCCAAACCCTCTTGTGTAAAGCAAATAAAGCTCTGCAATTTTTGAGAGTGTTCCAAAAGACAGCAAATGCACTCATGCTTAGAAAGCGACTTATTTTTATGTTCTTTAAGAAGTAATAAGAAAAATTAAGGTTTTCATTATTTCAGTTCCCAATATACTCTGACATACTTGATGAGCATTCAAATTTTTACGCCACATTCAATATTCGGCATACTTTGAATGAGAGACCTTCCCTGTCTTATGCAACAAATAAGAAATTTTTTCTTTTTCAGTAAAAGACTCACCAAATGTAGGCAAAACATTCGCTGCGGCAGAAGAACGTATTTCGCGTGCAGTTTATTGGCAAATGAATAAATTTTCTTACTTGGGTTCACATAAACACAGGAGAACTCTGAACCTATAAAAACGAATGAATTTCCCAAATATACAGATCATATGTAATTTATTTCGTAATATTTTTCGAATACCATCGTCTACAGCTTTGTGGGCAGAATGAGTCGTGGAATAAATCGGACCCATCGCACTTTAATTGGACAATACCTGCCTACCAAAGCCAAAGAAACATCGAAAGCAGTCGTCCGAACACAGCGTATAAGGGTCATCCAAATAAGCACGCGGACAGAATGACTTTAAGAGAGTCATTGAATAATCAAG